TGGCCATTCATAGCTGCATAGAAGGTTGATTCTGTGGCTGGATACATTGTTACATATAGTTACATAGTTAGTCTGGTTGAAAAAAAAACAAAAGTCCATCCAGTTCAACCATAGAAGAAAAAAGTTATACTCCTATACCCACAGTTGATCCAGAGGAAGGCAAAAATCCCACCAAATCATGATTCAATTTGCTCTTGCAGGTGAAAAAAATCCTTCCTGATCCCCCAAGAGGCAATCGGATATTCCCTGGATCAACTTTACCTATAAATGTTAGTATCCAGTTATATTCTGTGTATCCAAGAAAGAATCCAGGACTTTTTTAAATCCACTGAGCTGGCCAGAACCAACTCTTGAGGGAGTCTATTCCACATTCTCACAGCTCTTATTGTGAAGAAACCTTTCCGTGTTTGGAGATTAAATCTCTTTTCTTCCAGACGTAAAGAGCGCCCCCTTGTCCTCTGTGATGACCTCAGGATGAATAACTCTACACCGAGTTCACTATATGAACCACTGATGTATTATACATGGAGATCATATCCCCCCCTTATGTATTATACATGGAGATCATATCCCCCCTTATGTATTATACATGGTGATCATATCCCCCCTTATGTATTATACATGGTGATCATATCCCCCTTATGTATTATACATGGAGATCATTTCCCCCCCCTTATGTATTATACATGGAGATCATGCCCCCCTTATGTATTATACATAGAGATCATATCCCCCCTTATGTATTATACATGGAGATCATATCCCCCCTTATGTATTATACCTGAAGATCATATCCCCCTTATGTATTATACATGGAGATCATATCCCCCCCTTATGTATTATACATGGAGATCATATCCCCCCTTATGTATTATACATGGAGATCATATCCCCCCTTATGTATTATACATGGAGATCATATCCCCCCTTATGTATTATACATGGAGATCATATCCCCCCTTATGTATTATACATGGAGATCATATCCCCCCCTTATGTATTATACATGGAGATCATATCCCTCCTTATGTATTATACCTGAAGATCATATCCCCCTTATGTATTATACATGGAGATCATATCCCCCCTTATGTATTATACATGGAGATCATATCCCCCCTTATGTATTATACATGGAGATCATATCCCCCTTATGTATTATACATGGAGATCATATCCCCCCTTATGTATTATACATGGAGATCATATCCCCCCTTATGTATTATACATGGTGATCATATCCCCCCTTATGTATTGTACATGGAGATCATATCCCCCCTTATGTATTGTACATGGAGATCATATCCCCCCTTATGTATTGTACATGGAGATCATATCCCCTCTTAATCTCCTTTTCTCAAGAGAGAATAAATTCAGTTCCTCTAATCTTTCCTCATAGCTGATCTCCTCCATGTGTCTTATCAGTTTGGTTGCCCTTCTCTGTACTTTCTCCAGTTCCCCCAATGTTCTTTTTGTGAATTGGTGCCCAAAACTGAACTGCATATTCCAGATGAGGTGTTACTAGTGATTTGTACCGGGATAATATGATATCTCTCTCTCTGGAGTCTATACCTCTCCTAATACAAGAGAAGATTTTGCTCGCTTTAGAACCTGCAGCTTGGCATTGTATGCTATTATTGAGCTTGTGATCTACCAGAACTCCCAGATCCTTCTCCACCATTGATTCCCCCAGTTGTACCCCCCCCCCCCCAGTATGTATGATGCATGCATATTCTTAGCCCCCAAGTGCTGAACCTTACATTTATCTGCATTAAATCTCATTGGCCACATAGTTGCCCAATTAAACAGTGCATTGAGGTCAGCTTGTAAGTTGTAGACATCCTGTAAGGATGTTATTCCACTACACAGCTTGGTGTCATCTGCAAAGACGGAAATGGTATTTATAATCCCAGACCCTATATTGTGTTTTTAAAATTAGCTCTCTTAAAATTGAGCATTTTTTTTCCCCATATGTGCTTGCTGTTTAAAGCTAACAATAAATGAAATCATGTTATGGTTGCTGCTACCCAGATGTTCTTTTATATGGACATTCATAATAAGCTCTGCATGGTTTGAGATTACCAGGTCCAGCAGAGCATCATTCCTAGTTGGGGCCTCTATGATCTGTACCATAAAATTGTCCTGTAGTAGGTTTATAAATTTTTGCTCTTTAACTGTTCCTGCAGTACCATTACTCCAGTCAATTTCTGGGTAGTTAAAATCCCCCATTATTATCACTGTCCCAGCCCTTGCAGCCCTTTCAAACTGTGCACAGAGCTGAGTCATCACCTCCCCATTAACACTGGGAGGCCTATAACAAACCCCAACAATTACCTTTGTAGTACGCACCCCCATGTGCAGTTCCACCCATAATGCTTCAGCCTCATCACACTCTCCATCAACTAGGTCCTCTTTCACACTCACTCTGAGATCACTTCTCACATAGAGACAGACATCACCAACTTTCCTATTTACCCTGTCTCTCCGAAAGAGAACATAGCCAGGAATATTAATGTCCCAGTCATACACATTACTTTAAGCAGCTACACACCATTGGTGCATCCTGGTCATTTAAAGCTCAGCAATGGAGCTACAAAATTATGTAATCGCTGCTACACATCTTTTTATTGGCTCCTATTTAATGTTTTCTGGCAATAAAAGACTAAGGCGGGTCCTGTTACGAGAACAAAACTGTTCTCGTAACAGGGCCTAAAAATAAAACATATTAACAGGAATCTGGGACATGGAAAGCCTTCCCATTGTCATTTCATCTGCATTCTCATGGTAAGCAGTCATTGGATAATGTAAAGCAGGGAAAGGCAACCTTGGAGAGAAGGAGATCTAACTGGACAACATGGAAAAGATCAAAGATTTATAAGAGAAGTATGGGATTTTTATTTATTTATTTATTTATTTTTTAAAATCATACTTACCTAGGTGGATGCAGCATTGGTCCCCCGCCCGCTCTAAGGGTGACAACTCAGCGCCCACATGACCGCTGATCACTGGGTTCTCACAGCCGCTCTGAGCAGAGAGTGGTGACTGTCAGTAACCTCTGTGTGCTCAGAGGGGCAGTGCCACTATGATTAGAAGTGAGGAGAGGAGGCACTTCTGAGGAGGATAGGCACAGCAGGGACATCTGAATAAACAAACGGTGCAGCGCTAAAATACAATGTATAAAAAATAAAATATGTAATCAATAATATTCAGATCATCCAGATTATAACGTGATAACTAATATATAAGTGAATAAAGAGCTAGTTTAGGTGGCAGACATAAATGTGATCATGTGAACAGTCTTTTAACAACAGAAGTGTTCATAGATTAGTGCAGGATTGACGCGATCAGGTCAGCGTGTGACTTAATCCGTGCGAAAGACTGTAAGAAATGCGCACTCACCAGATGCGCATAATATATGCGCAATAAGCTGAATATGAATCTGTAGGGAACCCCTTTAAATGGATCTGCCAGACAGCATGGAACCAGGATCCCTCCTCTGGACACAAGCCTCCTCTGCAGCCACACTTCCACTGGGGTCCTAGGAATCCTTAGCTCAAGTCTGCTCCAGGACGGCCAGTCTGAGGGGGGCCAGCTGCTCCTCCATCCTGGGTTTGTGTGTATCGGGAGGTCACCAGGTGTAGGGCGGTGAGAAGGCTCGGGACAGACAGCCGGCTCTTGTGGCAGAGTGATCTCGGCTGAACTGGGAGCAGCAGGGTGAGAAGGGAACATCTGGCTGTCACATGGCTGAAACTGACAGGTACATTGCGATCAATGGGTTGCTATACCTATGCAATGTTTGTCAGCATGGGAGATTGTAGTCTCCACCAGGAAGCATGTGACTGGGTGACAATGCAGAAGAGGAAGTTCCTGAACAAGGATCTACATGGCAGCATCACCAGGGATTATTTTAACCTCCCTGGCGGTATTCCCGAGTGTAGCTCGGGGTAAAGTTTTAGTACCAAAAGCGGTAACCCCGAGCTACACTCAGGCTTATCATGCAGCGCAGCTCCAGGATTTGTTCTTCACTTACCTTGTCCTGCGCTCCCGTGATGTCCCTCCTGAAGTGTCCCCTGTAATGTCCTCCAGCGGATTCCGGCATCTGTCTTCCGGGTTCCGTTCCCTGCGACGTCGGGACATACGGGGGACGGAACGGCGGGAAATTTGAAAATGACAAAAAGTGACATTCACTAAAATCACATAGTATAACATTCCTGTATCAAACCATTTCACATACATTTTGTCCCGAGTGCTTTGTCCGGCGCCCTGCCTGCATTTTTACTGTTCTTTCTGCCTGGAAACTGAGATACGTCCATGGCGTCCAAAAAGTGTCCCTTTAAGTCAAAAGCGGTTTTAGACCGGCTAGAGAACAGCGATAGTAAATCAGAACCACTTGCAGAATTGAGTGAAAATGATTCGTGGGGGAAATTCGTCATCAGACACTGAAAACGATTTTGCGACTTTGCTCAGTGATGTGCGAACTTGGCGCTATATTTCACATTTCAGTGTTTTTTGGTTTGATTATATTATTGAATTGTATTATTATTATATTTATTTTTATGATTATTTATTAAATTATAATTTATGATTTCGTGTTTCAAATTGTAACATACCCGGGATGTTTACTACACTCTTTGTTCGGACAGATTTCAGTGAGTTATTCCTAAAAATTACAGGCCTACAATAAACAAAATACATATTTCCATGCAAAAAAAGTACCGCTTTGAGCACAGAAATATGGACATAATCAGACCGCTAGGGAGGTTATTGAAAGCTGTAGATTTGAAAAGATTGAGAACATCATTGAATATTTTTAAAGCTTTGATGGAATTTTAGTGACTCTGTTCAAGACTGAAGATATAGGCCCATTTGTTAGGACTGACTGTATTCCCAGAAGGCTAACATCCGGGTAATGTTGTGTGCTGACAGTCATAGTGCAGGAGAACCTATTAAGTCACAGACTGTCTCCACCGTTGGACTCATTGTTTCCCATCGTTCCCTACATGTGTGCTTCTCTACAGATTGACGACTCGCTCTCCAGCCTGGTGATCGCCCAGCTCCTCTTCCTGCAATCCGAGAGTAACAAGAAGCCAATTCACATGTACATCAACAGTCCAGGTACATACACCAACCTACCTTCGGTTCTGGGAGTAGTCAATGTGAGCTGAAAGATCGTACAGCAAGTAAAAATGTAAGGGAGACTGTAATGACTGCACTGTAAAGTATCATTTTCTCACATGAGGGATGGACGCTATTTAACCGACCCCAGGAGTCCAGTGTTGAGGAATGGCCTCACGTGGCCACACGTGCCCAGAACAGCGGCTGAGGCCATTCCTCAGCATTGGAGTCCTGCGGTTGGTTGGTTGAGCATCGTCCATCCCTTCGCTTGTATTGGCTGACACTGGAATCACTTAGACTCATGGTCCCTCTTCTCACGTGCCGGTGGAGTGATCCTTTTTCCTTCCATCCATAGCTTGGAGCAGTGCCATAAGGTATACTTATCATTTTTCTCAACGTTGTCCAAAAACATCTCCCCAATATGGCCGATAATGGACAAATGCAGAAAAGGGTCAGTGCTATAAGAATAATGAACACAAATCAGAAATCAGAATGTGCAGGCAGACTAACCTACCTAGAGAGAGAAGGTTACACACAATCGGATCACTTTCTTAATTCCTTTATAGTACCCGCAGAATCCAGTTTGGGATGGTAGAAAATGCAGATCTTAGTAGGAAGGGCTGTTACTTTACACAGACTTCTAGCCGGCTGAGCACTGCTTCCAGCTTATGGAAAGTCTCAGGAGACAAGGAACCTACAGTAGATGTTTTAATAAGTCACGCCACAGTTTTTGAGTTTTTTTATGTAATAAATGTGATTACAGGAGCTAGGTTTGTGGGTGTACTCTTCAATTATGTCTGTTTTATGTTATACATTGTAAACTGGGACTCTCGATGCAAATCCCTATACATTTCTATGTAATATTCACCACGCCTACACCCTCATATAAATACACACCTGTGTTTTCATTCTTACCCCTCCTGTCCCCTCCCACGTCACAGCCATCTCTCTCATCGGCTTTATCTTTCTCTCTCTCCCATCCTTTTTTTTTTTTCTTTCTCTCCCCTCATATTCCTCTCTCATATATCTCTGTCTGTCTTTTTCTTTTCTTCTTTCTTTCTTTTGCCTCCATCTTCCTCTCTCATATCCCCCTCCCTTTCCTTCTTGTTTTCTTTCTCCCCCATCTTCCTCTCTAATATCCCTCTTTTCTTTTCTTTTCTTTTCCTCTCTTTCTGTCCCTCCATTCTCTTTCTTTTTCCCTCCCCTGCCTTTCTTTCTTTCCCTCCCCTCCCTCTCTTTCTTTCCCTCCCCGTCCCTCTCTTTTCTTCCCTCCCCTCCCTCTCTTTCCCTCCTCTCTTTCCCTCCCCTCCCTCTCTTCTCTTCCCCTTCCCTCCCTCTTTTTTCCTCTCCTCCCTCTCTCTCTTTTCCTCTCCTCCCCCTCTCTTCTTTTCCTCTCCTCCCTCTCCTCTCTCTTTCCTTCCCCCCCTCTCTCTGTTTCCTTCCCGCCTCTCTGTTTCCTTCCCCGCCTCTCTGTTTCCTTCCCGCCTCTCTGTTTCCTTCCCGCCTCTCTCTCTTCGTCCCTTCCTTCCCTCCTCTCTATCTCTCTCTTTCCTTCCCTCCCCCCTATCTCTCTCTTTCCTTCCCTCCCCCCTATCTCTCTCTTTCCTTCCCTCCTCTCTCTCTCTTTCCTTCCCCTCGTCTCTCTCTCCTTCCCTCTTCTCTCTCTCTCCTTCCCTCTTCTCTCTCTCTCTCTTCCCTCCTCTCTCTCGTCTCTCTCTCTCTCTCTCCGTCCCTCCTCTCTCTCTCTCTCTCTCTCTCTCCCTTCCCTCCTCTCTCTCTCTCTCCTCCCCCCCCCCTCTCTCCTTCCCTCCTCTCTCCCCCGCCCCCCCTCTCTCTTTCCTCCCCCTCTTCTCTCTCTCTCTCTTTCCTTCCCTCCTCTTCCCCCCTCTCTCTTCCCTTCCCTCCTCTCCCCCTCTCTTCTCTCTCTCTCTCTCTCTCTCTCCCTTCCCTCCTCTCCCCCTCTCTTCTCTCTCTCTCTCTCTCTCTTCCCTTCCCTTCCCTCCTCTCCCCCTCTCTCTCTCTCTCTCTCTCTCTTTCCTTCCCTCCTCTCCCCATCTCTTCTCTCTCTCTATATCTCCCTTCCCTCCTCTCCCCCTCTCTTCTCTCTCTCTCTCTTTCCTTCCTTCCCTCTCTCTCTTTCCTTCCTTCCCCCTCTCTCTTTCCTTCCTTCCCTCTCTCTCTTTCCTTCCTTCCCTCTCTCTCTTTCCTTCCTTCCCTCTCTCTCTTTCCTTCATCTCTCTTTTCTTTCCCTCTCTCTTTCTCTTTCATCTCCTCCTCCCTCTCTCCCCCCTCCCATCTTCCCCTCTCTCTTTCCAACCTCTCATTCTCTCCTCCTCTCTTTCTTCTACCCCTCCCCCCCCCCCCATGCTCTTTCCTATCCCTCTCCTTCTCTCTCTCTCCTGCCCCATCTCTCTACTATCACATTGGGCTTGTAGGTCATTCTGTACCAATCTAATTGTTTTTTCCGGCTGCGCGCACTCTATAGAATCTCTTACCTTTCTAATTGCTCACTTTTCCCCTCTTTGTACCCCTCTTCTGCCTCCCCTTCCTCTCTATATTTCATTTGTCTAAATCATTCTACTTGGTTAGGTTGGTACTCCAGTGTGGTGGACAAGAAGGAAAAACAAAATGATAAATGTGTTGATCCTCCCCAATATTTTTGTATTGCAGTGTCAGTAATTTCTGTATGCCTTTGTCCACAGGTGGTTCAGTGACAGCTGGTCTGGCAATATATGACACTATGCAGTATATCCTGAACCCCATCTGTACATGGTGTGTGGGCCAGGCTGCCAGCATGGGCTCTCTCCTCCTAGCTGCCGGCTCCAGCGGAATGAGACACTCGCTGCCAAACTCCAGAATCATGATCCACCAGCCGTCCGGAGGAGCCAGGGTGAGACTCAGGCTTGTGTGCAGGCCTCTTAAATTCAGATCAATGGGATAATATAACATAATAATCATAAGAAAATCCACTTGCCCTCTGGAAGATTTACCCCCCCCCCCCTTTCTGACCAGGCCATTTTTTGCTATACGGCTCTGTACTACTTTAACTGACAGTTGCACGGTCATGCAACACTGTACAAATGAAATTTATATATATGATTGTATATTTTATTTCATGTTTCATATATATCATAAATTCAAAATCATGTGTATATATACATGACTTTGCACAAGTGGCCACCCTGTAGCGGTAAAAGTGCTACAGGGCAGTCTGCATGTGGATATTCACGTTCACTGAGAAGATCTGAGACCATATATTGGCCTAGTTTTCAGGCTAATTACATTTATAAAGGCCATGACAGGCTCCCTCCCACCCCCAAGGTTGGCCTGAATAGAAAAAGGTGAAGAGTCGTTTGCTTCCCCACACCCAGCAGTACTGACAATTGCACTTGTCTCTGGCATACTGATGGGCAGAATTCCCTATATTAAATGAAGACTAACACTATTTCCCACTGATACCAATGATGGGACATTATTCCTCCCACTGATACCAATGATGGGACACTATTCCTCCCACTGATACCAATGATGGGACACACTATTCCTCCCACTGATACCAATGATGGGACACTATTCCTCCCACTGATACCAATGATGGGGCACTATTCCTCCCACTGATACCAATGATGGGGCACTATTCCTCCCAATGACACCAAGGATGTGGCACTTTTCCGCCCACTGATACCAATGATGGGGCACTATTCCTCCCAGTGACACCAAGGATGTGGCACTATTCCTCCCAGTGACACCAAGGATGTGGCACTATTCCTCCCACTGACACCAATGATGGGGCACTATTCCCCCCACTGACACCAATGATGGGGCACTATTCCCCCCACTGACACCAATGATGGGGCACTATTCCCCCCACTGACACCAATGATGGGGCACTATTCCCCCCACTGACACCAATGATGGGGCACTATTCCCCCCACTGACACCAATGATGGGGCACTATTCCCCCCACTGACACCAATGATGGGGCACTATTCCCCCCATTGACACCAACGATGGGGCACTATTCCTCCCACTGACACCAACGATGGGGCACTATTCCTCCCACTGACACCAACGATGGGGCACTATTCCTCCCACTGACACCAACGATGGAGCACTATTCCCCCCATTGACACCAACGATGGGGCACTATTCCTCCCACTGATACCAACGATGGGGCACTATTCCTCCCACTGACACCAACGATGGGGCACTATTCCTCCCACTGACACCAACGATGGGGCACTATTCCTCCCACTGACACCAACGACGGGGCACTATTCCTCCCACTGACACCAACGACGGGGCACTATTCCTCCCACTGACACCAACGACGGGGCACTATTCCTCCCACTGACACCAACGACGGGGCACTATTCCTCCCACTGACACCAACGACGGGGCACTATTCCTCCCACTGACACCAACGACGGGCACTATTCCTCCCACTGACACCAACGACGGGGCACTATTCCTCCCACTGACACCAACGACGGGGCACTATTCCTCCCACTGACACCAACGACGGGGCACTATTCCTCCCACTGACACCAACGACGGGGCACTATTCCTCCCACTGACACCAACGACGGGGCACTATTCCTCCCACTGACACCAACGACGGGGCACTATTCCTCCCACTGACACCAACGACGGGGCACTATTCCTCCCACTGACACCAATGATGTGGCACTACTTCTCCCATTGCAAAATTACAGTTATGAAGTAGCAACGAAAATAATTTTATGGTTGGGGGTCACCACAACATGAGGAACTGTATTAAAGGGACGTGGCATTAGGAAGGCTGATATAGACTGACTGCCATTGAGGATACCGGCAGATATTGATATACACTTGGGAAAAGTATCCAGGAAAATATTTTTCTTTAGTGATGAATGGAGTTAGGAAGGTTTGGGGCCCCTGTTAGGTTTTTACTGCTATCCAGGGCTCCATTACAGTTTAATCAGGTAGGAATCGGGTCAAATCTGCAGCAGGCACAGAGACAATAAAAAAAACTCAGAGGTTCTTACCGCTTTTTTTTTTTTGCCCGTGTTGTTGTTGTTGTTGGAAACCGTAGTCACCAGAACAGAAAGTGTGGGGAAATGATTGGAGCTCCGGCTAGCCATAAAACTCTGACGACAGAGCTGACCCTTCACCAATATCCAAAATCAAAGGAAAACAGTCTTGGCTGTATATTCACTTCAGCTTTGTACATGCCAAACCCACAGGAAAAGTTTCACCCATTTTAGGGCAAACACTTGTCTGAACGAAAGGTTGATGTATGGGGCTTAGAGGCAGTTAAAGCGACTCCGTTACTAACTGAACAAAGTTTTACAAAAGTCCTCCCTACAAAGCTAGGACTAATGCATGGGTCGAATTCCGAACAAATTTTCTTTAGAAAATCAGAAATTTTGTGCGTTTTGTAATGCGATGGTGCCACCATTGATTTCGAAATTCAACCAACCAAGCCTTCAATTTCTCCTTATGTTGCTACAGAAAAGAATTTTTGTGGCCAAGAATTTTCTTTTCTTGCCAGGTCACAGCTTTATATTTCTCGCACGATTCTCCCATCATTGATTCGAAATTTGAAATTTCCAACATGCCCGATCACTCAAATTCGATGGTCACATAAAAATCGGCTGTTTCTGTGACCCACTAATGGTGCGAAATTAAAACGAAAATTCTTAGAAAAGATTTTCAAAAGAAAATTCTTTCGAAATTCGATCCGTGTATGGCCGGCTTTAGGGGTGGTTCACACCAAATGCATTGCAGTGTGTTTTTATTCTGCATCAGATGCATGGACAAGGTTTACCATGGATTCCAATGGCCCTAGTTCACACCAGTGCAGTGTGTTCCAGTGCAGTTAACCACTTCCCGTCCGGCCGTTGTATATAAATGGTCGGACGGTGACAGTGCAGGGTTGGGTGGCCGTTTATAAATGGCCTCCCTGCCCCCTGCTTGTGCGGGCTCCCTGGGAGCACGAAGCACCGCGATCCAGTGCCTGCTGTGTCCTCCGGACACAGTGAAACACCGATCGATGTACAGGACCTCTGTACGAGGTCCCGATCATATGATCAGTGATCACATGCAGAGTAGCACGCAAGATGTCACTTCTGACATCATTGCTTACTACGTGTGAAATCTGTGAATGATCACAGAGGTCACATGGTACAAGGCTATTCACAACAGCCTTGTACCATGTGACACGCTGTGACCAATCACAGCTCACACAGTAGTTTTCAATGGCTGAAAGAATGCAGCCAGAGAGAAGGAGAAATGATTGCTTTTACAGCCTTTATGGGTGTAAAAGCAATCAGTGTAAAAAAAAAAAAAAATCTTCATCACCCCCCACAAGTAGTACAGTGTCACTATGGTGACACTGTACTGCTAGGGTAACAGTATGTACAAAAAAAACATAAATAATAATCTAAAATGTAAAACAAAATGTTTAAAAATTATAATTTTTGGTTATAAACTAATTTTGGTTATTTTTTTTTTTTTTACTAAAAATATAACGGAATACATTTTGGCCAAGATTTATGATGAAATATTATTTATTTGCAAAAACACTTTTTTTCAAAATTTTTGGACATTTTCATTTACATAGCAAAAAAAAAAAAAAATCCCAGCGGTGAATAAATACCACCAAAATAAAGTTTTATCTGTCTCAAATAAATGCTAAAAAATTCATATGGGTACAGTGTTGCATGACCGCGCAATTGTCATTCAAAGTGTGACAGCGCTGAAAGCTGAAAATTGGCCTGGGCAGGAAGGGGGTAAAAGTGTCTGGTCTTGAAGTGGTTAATAAAAGTAGAAGATGTTGCATTTTTTCTGTATGGAATCCATCTGGAGCACGGCAAAGTGCATAAAAAAAATGCATTGGAACGCACATGTCCTCAATTGAGGTAAAAAAAAAAGGGGGGGGGGGGAAACGAACTGGACTGCGTCAAAAACGTACATGCAGAAACGCATATGCAATGCAGAAATTGTGGGAGCTGGCCCCTATTCTACACCTGTCTTGCACCACTAATTCCCACTGACTTCAGGTGCTATTGTGGCTGGAAACCCGTGTGCTTCGAACACACTTCAAGGTGTGAGAGTTGCCTGGTCCGCAGCCGTGCACTATGGTACCTTCCACTGGCTGCTACTTCAGTCGTTTCTTGTAGGGTCGTAGGAGCCAGTGGAAGAAACCATAGTGAGCAGAGGGGAGCTAGCCATTTGACACATCCAGATGTGCCCGATACTGAAGATTTTTGAGCCAGTGCATCTTGCCAAGACAGCAGAGATCAGCATCATGGGAGGGGTAATTATAGGTCCTTTTCTTTTCAGGGTGGCTCTTTGTAAATTGTTGTTTAACTAGCAATAGAGTCACTTTACATTTCCCACAGAAACTCAATTCATCTTTATTCTATAGATACAGTTTTTATATACAGATGCACTGGGCAGCACAGTGACTAAGTGGTTAGCACTTCTGTGTAGCAGCACTGGGGTAGGCAGTTCGAATCCCAACCATGGCACCACCTGCCTGGAGTTTGCATGTTCTCTCTCTGTGCCTATGTGGGTTTCCTTCGGGTACTCCAGTTTCCTCCCACACTCCAAAGACATGCTGGTAGGTTAATTGGCTCCTGTCTAAATTGGCCCTAGTATGTGTTGTATGAATGTCAGTTAGAGACCTTAGATTGTATTCCCCTTGAGGGTTAGGGACTGATGTGAATGTACAAAATGTGTAAAGCGCTGTAAAGACACTATTGTGACGGGAGTCACTTACGGTGGGGGGCCCATGGAACCCAGCTCACGTTGGAGAGGTGGGGAGACTCCTGTCTCAGCTCCCCATATACCTCTTATGTGTAAATCACCCTGTGCCTGTTAGGGGTACAGGGTGATCTGTCCTAATATTGTGTGGGCTTTGTCTCAGACTGTGTAGACATGTTTACAAGATAGGTGGGGGTGTTGTGGATTGTTTAATGTTATGTGTATTAGCTTAGTGGGGGGTCTCCAGCAGCCCTCCCTCCTGATAGGACTGTCTGCTGGTGTGAAGTTTGAATACCTGTGTGTCTCTTGTTACTAAATGTAGATTTCCCTGCCCCCTGTGTCATTTTGCAGGGAGGGGGGATTGTCCCCTAAGTGTATATATCTTGTATCTGTGTTAAAATAAACTAGTCTACCTCCTGGTTTACTTCAAGACTGGTGTCGTCTAATCTTGTATGGTCAGCTGTGGTGTCTGTTGTCAGTGTTCGGACGGGGAAGCAGTATTCTAACTGAAGTACCCAAGCGTAGTCTGGGTCGGTTCCGTTACAACTATATAAGTACCTGTAATACATAAAATGAAAAACTACAGATATAAATCACTGGACTGGCTTTAGTTTCCTTGTAGAAGGTTTGTATTGTATCCTGTTCATTTTTATGATACTGATTGCTTTGTATCCTTCTTAGGGTCAGGCCACAGATATCGCCATACAGGCTGAAGAGATACTTAAACTGAAAAAACAGATCAATGAAATTTACGCCAAACATACAAAGCAACCGCTGTCTGTGATTGGTGAGTTGATACCCAGTGTCCATACACCATGTAGGGGGCTTAGGTCCAAATACCATAGCAGATAGACAGTAGTGGTGTGAATGGCGGGGATCAGTTAGATACAGGGGCGGACTGACAACTCATGGGGCCCCCGGGCAATAGGGGATCATGGGGCCCCTGTGTCCTTGCCCAAACTCAAGCCTATGAAAAAGGTACCAGGGGCATCTCATGGGGCCCCCTACTGACCCGGGGCCCCTCGGGCAGTGCCCAAGTTTCCAAATGGTCAGTCCGCCCCTGGTCAGATACTTTCATTTTATTCTTTGTAGAACAGTGAGAGTCCCCCTCTGCTTTTCTTTTTTACAATTGTGTTTTTTCCTTCCTCTGGAATTTCCATAAACACAACAAAGACAGAGGTGACATTAAGCTCTCCTGTATTGTGTTTGTTAATTATAAGGTGTGCTGACATAAATTTCTTGGTGAAACCTCAACTTGTAATTATACTGCCTGACATGTCACTCTAGGTCAGATACTCCATGTTAGCCCCATGTTGTGTTAAAGGCATAGTCCACCCATTGGTAAAAAATAGAAAAAAAATCTGCATTTGTTAATTCATGTATTGGATCCTGCAGAGCATTGCGGACACAGTCGCAGACTTTTCCCCCAGCCCTAGGTTTGTACAGGAGGTATGGAGACGTTCTGTTATGGGATTGAAGGAAGTAAACAATGGAATACAAGTGCTGTGATGTCACCGCACCTATGATCCATTGAGGTCTGTGAGTATCTCTGCTGCAGCGGCACATGGGACTTGTAGTCCTCCATTCACAGATACCTGTAAATGGATGCCAGAGCTGCAATGGTAGAGCCACGCACAACTATGCCCAATTCAAAATAATAAAGAATGCTGCAAAAAGATTCCACAAATCAGGTGTGTGTTGGAGGGGGGGGGGCTTTTTTTGGGAGTGGGGAATTGGGTAACATGGTCTGAAAGGTGAATTAAGCCTTTAAGGGCTTGTTCTCACTAGCAGTTGGGGGGCTTAAAACCCAGCAGTTGAGCTGCGCTTTTACTGCTCTGGGGGTGTATACATGCTGTGCCCACAATGCTTTGCTTCACAGCTGCAGCAGAATTGATACTATCTTTCTCTTTCAGCAGGCGTAGAGCCCGCTGAGTACAACCCATTCAAGTGAATGTGGCTTCTCTGCAAGTGCCCAGCAACTATGGTGTCCTTTTATGAAACTGAGATCAGCAGCAATCGTAAGGATCGTTGTTGATCTCCGATCATTAGTGGTTTAGGAAACAGAGATGATCAGCGGAGAACATGTTCTGCACTGATCATCTCAGCACACAGGAGGCCAGTGTATGAAGGAGCGATGTCAGCTCTTCACTGAAGATCTGTGTTCTCCCTCCAAATTCTCCAGCCAGGGGCAGACTGACAATTCATGGGGCCCCCGGGCAATAGGGGATCATAGGGCCCCTGTGGCCATGCCCAAACTCAAAAAAGCCTATGAAAAAGGTATCAGGGGCATCTCATGGGGCCCCCTACTGACCCCAGGCCCTCGGGCAGTGCCCGGGTCTCCAAATGGTCAGTCCGCCTCCGGTATTCAGCCCAGAGGTGAAGAATTGGGGGAACCGCATAGGAAGCAGCGATAATTTACCTCTGCTTAGTAAACTGTGTGTTTGACTGATCTCTTACTGTAATCTCGCGAGATTATAGTAACAGCAGCCGTTTTCCAGCGTTCAAAGCGTTTGTAGATCGCATCTCTCTTCATTCGGAGAAGCGATCTACACCGCTTCATAAAAAGGCATTCAGAGGAGAACTGTCTCCTCTGAGAATGCCGGAGAACTGAGCAGCGGTCATTTACCTCTGCATGATAAAGGGACTCCTATGTGTCCTTGGTTGCGGTGGACTTTGAGAACTTAAAGCGAGGCAGTTAGAAGGCAATACAATGCCTCCTCACTGCCTGTCAAATACTCTCCGAATCCAGATTGCTCTTCAGAGACCAAAGCAAGTGAGAATGAGCCCTTTAAAAAAAAAAAAAAAACCAAAACACATGCACCTTCCAAACAATGGTTCCCATTGCTGACAGTGACCAGATACAACCTTCCATGGCACAATATAACAAGGTCACTGTTGGGCAGTCTCTTATAGAATATATTTTCTCCTGCAGAGTCTGTGATGGAGAGAGATCGATATATGAGCCCTACAGAAGCTCAGGAGTTTGGCATCCTTGACAAGGTCCTGGTACACCCCCCACAAGATGGAGAAGATGAACCAGAATTGGTGCGGAAAAGTGAAGAGACTCCACCACCGTCTGAGCCTTAGGAGGAGGAAGCTGTGAAAATAAGACCATAATGACCTGATAGGCCAAAAAGCCCAGCCAGATCATTCATTCTGAATTACCTTTTATGTATTAGATTTGTTCCCTGATTCACAGACTGTTTTCTTTGTTATTTTTCTGTTTTATATTGTACCGCCCCCTCCTGGCAGGGAGAATACATATGTCTTTAGGCCAATGTTTATTAGTTCCTGTCTTCATCAGCTATTCTTAGGTTGTAGTTTTCAAACTGCCAGGTAATAATAGCAGAGGAGAATTTAAAGGGTCAATTCGTCCAAAACCTATACATCCATGCTGGATGAATAAACAGGATTCTTATGTCCTTACAACACTCTGCAGCCATAGATCTGCAACTGAGTTCCCATCTCCACCCACCTGTAATGACTGTTACACAGGTATACGTCATCTTTCTGTCATATACACAGGTATATTTCTTTTGAAAATTAAAATGGAAGTCGGGAGTAGATGCCAGATCATTGATCACATTATAACTTCTATTTAATTACTACAATTAATTTAACATGTTTCTGAGCCCAAAGACAAAAATGTAATTTCCATGCATTATCTCTAGTGGACAGGGATTTGTCATGCGAAGCACGTCAGTGAAAATGCCCCAAAACCTCCTTTTTGACACGTACCTTGCATATGGTCACATTTTCTACAGCATTCTGGCTGCTGATATTTTTCATCCTGCTCATCTTCTTTCAGTTTTTATGTATGCCTTGTCACCTCATTATCATGGCTGGGATAGAAAATGACTGGAAATAAATTATTTTCACATAGATTTGAGCCAGTAATTTTTTTGGTATTGAGCAGTAAATAATTTTTGTGACTTAAAGCGGAGCTCCACCCAAAAGGGGAAGTTCCGCTTTAAGCCTTTGTCCCCCACCCCCATTAAGGATTGGCCCCTTTGGGGCGCGGGTACCTGAATTTGACAGGTACCCGCTTCCACGATCGCCTAGACCACGGGTGTCAAACTGGCGGCCCTCCAGCTGTTACCAAACTACAAGTCCCATGAAGCATTGCAAGACTGACAGTTACAAGCATGACTCCCAAAGGCAGAAGCATAATGGGACTTGTAGTTTCACAACAGCTGGAGGGCCACTAATTTGACACCCCTGGCCTAGGCGATCGGAAGCAGAAGTTGTTCCCCCCCACCCACCCTTAGTCCTCTGGGACACGTGATAGGTCCCAGAAGACTATGGGGTCATTATTCACAAAGTGCAGCGCTTCTCGCACATGCGCAGTGGGCACCTGGCTGTGAAGCCGCAAGCTGTCACAGCCGGGTGCCCACACTGAAGATGACAGCACCAGGTGTGGTGAGGACACCGCTGGACCGAGGGACAGGTAAGTTTCTCAACAATATCTAATAAGGGCATGTGCTAAATAAAATTATATATCACCATATAATTAAGTGTCCCTAATAAATCTGTGCAAGTCCAAAACAAACTCAGAATATCCTCTGTGAATATATATCACCATATAATTAAGTGTCCATGATAAATCTGTGCAAGTCCTAAATAAACTCAAAATATCCTCTGTGAATTCATAACATTGTGAATAATCCACCACCAAATGAATTAGATCAGGGGTGGGCAAACATTTTGACTTGAGGGCTGCAATGGGTTTATATATTGGACCCGGGGGCCGGACCAAGAGTAGATGAATGATGTGTATGTGTGAATTAATATAAATTAAATTAAAATTTGTAACATTAAATGTTTAGATTAATTTAAGGTAGAAAAAGCATAAAAAGAGTTATTTTACAAAACTTTTATGCCCCCCACTAGCTGCTGGCCGGCCCAGCCACTACCATGCCATCCATAGTAAGTATAGTAATATTCCCCCATAGTAAGCATAGTAATTAATCCCCCATATAGTAATTCATCCCCCATATTAATTCATCCCCCCTATAGTAATTCATTCCCCATATTAATTCATCCCCCCTATAGTAATTCATTCCCCATATTAATTCATCCCCCCTATAGTAATTCATCCCCCCCATAGTAATTCATCCCCCATATTAATTCATCCCCCATAGTAATTAATCCCCCATATAGTAATTCATCCCCCATAGTAATTCATCCCCCATATAGTAATTCATCCCCCATAGTAATTCATCCCCCATATAGTAATTCATCCCTCATAGTAATTCACCCCCCATATAGTAATTCATTCCCCACATAGTAATTCATCCCCCATAGTAATTCATTCCCCATATAGTATTTCATCCCCCATAGTACTATTCCCCCCCAAGTAGTAAGCCAAGTCCCCCCTGTGTCAATTCACTTACCTTTGCTCCGCGCGTTCCTCTCGCCGTGTTCCCGCGCCGTTCCGGTCTTCAGGGCGGACTGTGAGAGGAGCCTAGCTCCCCTCACGTTCGTCACGCTGCCCCGCCTACACACATCCTGACAGCCAATGTTTGCCTGCCCTGGCTGTTTTTTTTTATCACGCTCCGCGGGCTGGTTGAAAAGGTCCGCCTGGCCGTAGTTTGCCCATTGCTGAATTAGATGGACTCACACCAGAGCTATATGCTGATCTAATTATAGACCAGCAATAGCGCTTGTGCTCTGGGAGCGATGGGTAAACGATATCCAGGTATTAGATGTAGTAATGTTCAATAATAGTCACATCCAGGTGATCAATAATGGTAATCAGTAGAGATGAGCGAATCGAAGTAGGCGAAGTGGAATTCGAGTCGAATATTGGAAAATTTAGCCTACTTCGGACGCGCGAATCGAAATTTTTCCTAAAATGGCGGCGGACATGTGCGGCGACGGAGCGGGGATGTCTGGGAAGGCGCGCAGACAAGGCGCGCTGACCCATAATGCATTCCTTAATGACGTGATCGCATTAGCCAATCAGCAGCCAGGCAGCCAGCACTGTGTAATGGTCGAGCTATAAATAGCGGCCATTTTAGAATTCTTCATTTGCCTCCAGTCATTCAAGAGAGGCAGACCGCTCTGTATTAGGGACAGAGTTAGGGCCACAGAAACGTTACTTGGGGACAGAGAAACGTTACTTAGGGACAGAGAAGCATTATTCAGGGACACAGAATTGTTAATGAGGGCCACAGAATCGTTACTTAGGGCCAAAGAAACGCTAGTTAGTTTAGGGCCACAGAATTGGTTACTCAGGGACAGACACAGAATTGTTACTGAGGGCCACAGAACTGTTACTTAGGGCCACAGAAACGTTAGTTAGGGCCACAGAATTGTTACTAGGGACAGACACAGAATTGTTACTGAGGGCCACAGAACTGTTACTTAGGGCCACAGAAACGTTAGTTAGGGCCACAGAATTGTTACTCAGGACAGACACAGAATTGTTACTGAGGGCCACAGAATTGTTACTTAGGCCACAGAATTGTTACTCAGGACAGACAGAATTGTTACTGAGTGCCAGAGAATTGTTACTTAGGGCCACAGAAACGTTAGTTTTAGGGCCACAGAATTGTTACTCCCTAGGGCCAGACAGAATTGTTACTGAGTGCCAAGAATTGTTACTTAGGGGGCACAGAGAACGTTAGTTAGGGCCACAGAATTGTTACTCGGGAACAGA